GAATGTTGGTGATGACTGTAAGGAAGATATTGAATGTGGAGGCGGATCTGCGTGTACGGATGGCATTTGTTTGTGCTCAATTGGACAGCGACTTGTCAACGGCGTATGTCAGCGAGGTAGTAGAACAATCATGTAACAAACTCTTCATAAGTATCCGTTTTTCAACGAGATTATTTCATTAATTCTGTTAGCATACAACACATTTAAACCCTTCATCACTCATTTAAAATCAGTGAAACGTATGCAGATCACGTAAGCATTTCCTATGCATTCATTTATTCCGAAGACATTCTTGTTTGTATTCAATGAAGCCATTGGAGGGGATTGCCGTAAGAGTGAGCTTGTAAAAAGAAATAATGGATGCTCTACTTTTGTGAGAGATTTTTTTTCATAGTTTTAGTTCCATTAATTGAGTGCATTTTGTTTATCGCAAAGAATGAATTTGCAAAAAAATTCCCCATACAGTCAAGCCTCAATAAATCGCTTTCCCATGCAAGAGCGCAAGTGAAAATTCCGCGCGTTTATTGGCGGCACTATTTATTAAAGCCGTTGTCAACCGCTTCTGAGTAGTCCACACGGAGGAATCCAGTAGCTAACAGCTCAAACTTAAGCCGAGGCTCTGACTGAAATCTGAATAAAACGATAGAGGTGTTGTTAGCGGGCATAAAGACTAAGAATCTATTAACCTCAGAAACAGACAAACTGGCATGTTTAGCATCACTAGCGAATCGGTATCAGTGGAACAGCAGTAACAAAATTGCCAAATGTAAATTGCTGTGCAGTGGTTAATAACTAACTGAATGCAGCCAATTTGATACTGATTTTTAGTTTGTTCATCAAATGAAGTTCTCGTGAACGATGTTTGTTTAAAACGGGTGAGAGTGGGTGAAGAGTGCGAGTCGAGTAAGCAATGTCTGAGGGGTTCGTCGTGTCATGACGGTATTTGTGAATGTTCGAAAGGACATAAACTCATCAACGGGAAATGTGTTCGACGAACTGGGCGACCTGTGAATACGTGCCCTATCGTCGGGCAAATTCCTTACGTTGAAAGAGGAACAGCAAAGGTTTGCATTGTCGCTATCGCTGTTCGATCCTCCTTGTTTTAACATTTGGAATAGCCGAATTCTTTTCTTCTTATCATTCGTTCGCATATCACTCAGGACGTTTCTAAAAAAATTCCGCATTAGTTTCTTTTCTCTCTGCAAGCTTTCGTTGAATTGCGATATAATCATCTTCAACATCCTCGCTAGTAAATATTCATTAAGCAACGATATCACTATACGCTTTCAATGCACCAAAAGAAAAGCGAGAATAAGATCTATGAAGTTTTTTGTTTTGTTGCTTAAAAAAATACATTTAGTGATATGAAACGCATTCTGAAGTCAAGTATATTTTATGTTTTCCGAATGATGTGAAAAATATCCTCTCAGATGGAAGAAATTTCCTTGCCTATTCAGATTCGTTTCTGTTCATCGTCGAAAAAAGTCTGTCCACGTGGATTCAGTTGCCAGTTCAGTCTGACGGCACAACGTAATGTTTGCTGTGGTAATCCTCCGAATGGACCAATTAAAAGCTTGTTATCAACAAAATTACGACCAAGACAACGTAATAGTGAAGTGTGTGACAACGGCACCGCATATATTGTCAATGGTGAACCGCAGAAATGCATCACAACCACGTGTCCACTCGACTACGAATGCAAATTCTCAGATCGAGCCAAAAATTACTTCTGTTGCGCTCAAAAGCGTCAAGGTACATGAGTTTCGGTTGTATCGCTTGATTAACGAGAATAAAGCAATACAAAAGCCAGGCATACGTACTAGATGCGCATTTGTCACATTTGAACGAAAATTTAGCAGTCCGTAGTCATCTCAATGGATCATTGATATCCGGCAATGATGAGTTTGCAACCTCTTTTGAACAGTAAATAATAATTATATTGACTGTCAGCGGAAATCTTTAAGACTGTAGGTCTGAGGGTAATTTGTAAAGCATCGATAACACTTATCAAGCGTAGTCGCACGTGAGGCATCTTTATCCGATACTTTGATGTATAACGAATAACAGTGTTGGAGATTGCACTAGCAACTTCGCCATTATCACGAAAATTCAGCTCAGAATAATCTCATAGTCAATAAGGACTGTTATGATAATCGGGTATCGAACATCGAAATTAACTGATTTTTCCGAACATTCGAGTACGCAGAGGGGCAGTGGTGTACCGATGAATACTTCCTCTAATATTTTTGGATATACCATTCCATACCCTGTCGACCGTGATGTGTATCTCCCATTCAAAGATTTTAGCATCACCCCTTCCTTGCTCTAACTGATATTTCTGCAAATGTCACAATTTTCAGATAGAAACGTTAAGAAAAATTTTGGAACGAAATTGCTAAATGATTCAAATGCGTTTCTTAAAGGTGCCAACGGTTGTCCATCTGGTGAAGCACTGCTGTTTCCATCGACCCGAACACCAGTTCAGTGCAGTGTGCAGGGTCCTAATACATGTCCACTTGGTTATAAATGTGTTCAAAGTGTCACTGATGGTGGTTATCAGTGCTGTACGTCCAATCAGTCGTATCCTTATTATCAACGAGATCTGCTTAGAAATCGTTGGATTAAAAGTTAGAGCATTCCTCTTCATTACTCCTAGGTTTTTTCTTTTTAGATTAAGTGCTCAATTACAGAAGAGAAAAAGAATCAAGTGAAAACCGGGTCAGGCAGATAGCATCCCAAAACATTGCTCCATTTCATTACTGTAATATAACGATGCAAGCTATTACAGCGCCCTGTCCGAGCAATCAAGTTCAAGTGCAGCGAGTTGTGAGTGGACGTTCGGTGAAACGATGTGAAAGCAGTTGTCCAGAAAACCAGATTGCAGTTCAGGGTATTTGTAGGGATGTCACGTTGGACGATAGCAGTGACGCTCCAACACAGCAATCATAGACAATGTCTTCATCACTTTCTGATCACATTTCATCCATCTTCCGTTTCTTGATGAGACACCCGAACAATTCATCAGTACTTCTGATCCACTGAAATAAAGAGTTCCCCGAAAACATCAGTGGTATTTCCCTTAGAAGAAGCCTCCAAATTGCATGAAAAATTCGAGCTTCTCTAATTTTTGTACATTTACCAATCACTTCTTATGTAATTGTTTCTTTATCAGTTTGTGCAGCACACTTCTGACGGATCTGTTTTCCCTTAAGAATGTTGGAAATGTGAGTCATTGCATATCGATATTCAGAATTGAATCGCTCGCTTGTACATTTACTCATTGTTAGGAACTGAGTGTTTCTGCCGTCGCTGATCGAGCGGTAAATCAGTGATCAATTCATATGAAATTTTAATGTAACCGCGATTCTCAGGCACTTCAATTGTTTCAAGAAACAGCTGCACCTAACGCAATTACACATTAAGTGATATATTCAATTAATGCCGATTCTTTTCAACATCGTGATAGGGCATTTTTCATTCCCTTGGCTCTTGTTTTCATCACCAGTACTTCTGAACAATTCAATTCTGGCTTGT